CTCGTCACAAAACAACCCAAACGAGCAGCATTGTTATTTCCAGAGAACTAAATGACCACCATCGCTTAATGACAACCTTCTGGGAGCGCAGGCGCAGCGAGTGAGTAATTCAGCATCCTCCAGGCTTGGAGCCTTTCTCGTCAGGGAGCCGTTGGGATCTGTTGAGCTTCTGTAAAATCTGTATTGTAGATAAATTATCGTGTGTGTGTGCAGGCTGGAAAAAGGGAATGGTTTGACTTGGAGCGTGGTTATCTTTCGACGTCTGGAAGAGCAGAGCCTGTGGAGCGGTGTGGGGTTGAAACCGAGTTTTGCTATCTTCTGCTTGCCAGGTATGAATTAGTGTTGGCCTGAACCAGGGGTGTTAGGAACAGGATGAGCCCTTGTGCTCCTTTTAAGCCGTAAGTCTGTTTTCTTTTAAAAGATTTTGATGCAGAAAAGCAGGGTGAGTGTACAGGTGACTGCATGCCTGTAGAGACGTTGCCTTTTCACAGAAACAGGAGTGAGCCCTGAGCTTGGGGCGTCTCCAGGGTGGCTGGAGGGTCTGCTGTGCAGGGGACAGCAGGAGCATACGGTGCCCGTGTAGCAGTTTGCTTTCACGTTTGATGTTCAGAGTTGCTGATACCTTTTAAGACGAGGGGTGCAGGGTTCTCTCTTCATCACCGAAGCACTGACATTCCCGGTGATGCTGTGGGACACCAGGAGGTCCAGGTCCTCTCCTGGGGGCTGATCTGGTGCAGGTGAAGGGGGATGCTCATAGTGGGGAGTTCGACCGGTGGTGTGGGTCTCCTCAGGGGGGGAGAAGCCTAATTCTCTTCTCACAGGTTGCTCTGGGTGTGTTTAATTACCTTTTTTTTTTTTCAGATTCCTTCCTGTTGCTAAAGTCTTTTTGTCTGGAATAGCATGTTCTTAAACTTAAAGTGCTTAAATATAAATGCATACTTGAACTGTTTTCTGATGAGATTTTTACTCTGAAATCTCTATGTGGGATCATATCTAAGTTTTGCTCTGATTTGCTTATTTCTGTGGCGTTAAACGCCTTCTCTACACTAGACTTGTGAAGAGCCTGCCTTTTTCAGGCTGTCTAACATTAAACCCTCATCCTCTACCAAAACAAAACCCCAAATCCAGCATTTACAAGTGTGGCAGGAGGTGAGCAGCACTGCTTGGGTGCTCCTAGAAGAGCAGAGCATCCTCCTTCAGCAGCACCTGCAGGCTCTGCTGAATTGCCTTGTGGAATAGCAGTGGAAGAGAGTTTAATTTAAATAAAAATCTGCTTGTGGTTTGGCTGTGGGCAGTGCGTTCTCTAAATAACAAGTTGAAGAGCAGCAGAGTGGGAACTTTGCTCTTTGTGTTGGCTCTGCTGTGGGCTGGGTTGAAAACAAAATACTACTCAGCAAACATCTCTGTGCAGCAAAGGTGCTTTTTTTTTTTTTTGAATAATGCGGCCTCTCGGTTATGTTGCTCACTTACAGATCTCTTTGCTTTCAGTCGAGTGCTTAGGAAACCATTTCTGAACATAAAACTTCAAAGGGGAGGAAGCGGCCATGAGCCCATGCATCAGAGAAGCACGCTCGGGTCTTGCAGCAAGATGTTTGCCTGCACCCAGTGAGTTATTGGTGCTGGCTGCTGCTATTAAATGTTTATAGGGAAGGGCTGGGAAGGGAAGGGCTCGTACGTCCCCGTCTCTGCATCCCCAGCCCCACCGAGGGGATCTGGCCAAGCTGTGAGGTGGTTCCCAGGAGCTGGGGGAAAGACCCGGAGACTTTTGCTCATCACCAGCGAGACCCACCTTCCTGCGCCAGGAAGGGTCTGCGACTGCGGCTCTGAAATCCAAACAAGTCAACTTTTCTTGTTCCAGAAATGTTGATATTTAAAAAGAGAAAACTATGCATGGAGGAAATGTTTGTTTGTGGACTGTCCCTCTTGTTTACCGCAGTTGATAAGAGCTGCTCTTCAGCTGTGCCCTCCCTGCAGTCATCATCTCAAGAGCCTTGATTCTGCCTTTTTATTTTTAAGAGCAGTGTGCTTCCAGTGTTGTGTGTTTCGATAAAGATTCTTACAAATGGATTTATTCAAAACAAACACAGTGGGAGGCAACTACAAAGCAGGCTGCTTTGGCAGCTGGTGCGGAAGGGAGCTCGCTGTTGTTGTGTGTTCATGGGGGTGCAGTCTTGCAGCGTGTCCCTCCTGCCCTGTGCCTGCCAGGACATCGGGGAGCTTTGCCCTGGGAGTTGCCCGTGGCAAGTCTGTCCTGCATCGTGGGCTCGGGGTGATGTGCGTTTGGCTGAACGTAGTTCGTTGCACCCCTCAGTGCCTTGTAGCATCTCTAGGAGATTTTGGATAGCTGTTGAGTGCATGAATTGCCTGCGTGGTGGCTGGGGTGACTCTGCAGATGGAGCCTTTTGTTGCTAATGGGGCCAGCAGCGTCCCTAGCAAGGGGTCACAGGAGGAAGGGGAACAGCTCTAAGAGCTGCAGGGGCAAATCAGCCACATGCTGCCATCTGCAAACTGATCACAGCTCCTTAACCCCCGCAGTGAGCGCCCAGCCTCTTCAGAACCTCTCCTGAACCAAACTGCAGACCCTACTTGTGTCATAATCCCAGCTAAACCAGAGGTAACCCCAATTCTGCCCCTATGATCCAGCAGCCATCCCTCACCCCACGAGTTGGCTGCTAGCTGCAGCTTTCAGGTACTCACTGTACAGTGTGTGCTCTGTGGGTGGGGAACCCCTGGTCTGAGAGCTCTTGTGTCTCGTGTGGTTGGGTTTAACTTGCTTTCCCTTCTCTCTGATGTTTCTGGTTTAGGGAAGAAGGAAATTCAGCGTGAGCAGCAGGCATGAAGCTGCCCCCTCCTCGAGGGTGGTGGTGGGAGACAGCTGGGTGCTCTGTGAATCCGCTGTAGCCTTTCGTTTAACTTGGGTTTTACAGCTTTCTTGCAGAGCCTGTTCTGTGGTAATCCTGCAGAAACAAACTCCTGCAAGACTTCTGGGGAAATGAGGTGACACGATGCCCAGCTCAACAAGTGTTTTGGAGAATTCCCCTTGGGTGCTCTCGCTGCGTCGGTTGGGTTATGCCAAGGTGTCCTGACATCTCCGTGCAAAGCACTGGAGGAGGAGAACCAATGCAGTGGGGTTTTCTGCACATCTGCATCTCTGTCGAGCTCAGAGCATTGCCACGTCTGGGTTTCAGCACCATCTTTGCCTTGCAGTGATTGCCCCTGGTGCATCAGGTGCCTGTGGGTGCCCGTGCAGGCTGGCTGCTTGCATCCCTGTTCTCTCAGTGCAGGTAGAAAGCTGCTGTTTCAGTGGCCTCCACTGGAGAAACCCAGAGCAGCTCACTGAGAGGAGGGTATGATGTTCTAAACCTGGCTTCTGCAGGAGACCAGGCTAAAATGGGCCCTGAAGCTCGTCCCCAGAGCTGACTGGTGGGACTGAATCCAAGTGAAGGAGTTTGAAAGAGTTGAGAGAGCCTGTCTCAAACCTGACACAGCTCCAATCACTCCAGAGGGAGCACAGACCCTGTGGGTTACCATCCCTGCTTTTCCCAAAGCCCTCCTTGCCAAAAAAAAAAAAGCCAAGCAAAACCCAAACCAAAACAAACCTCATAAACTCAGGAGATTTGTGTTGCAGGAGAAACAAATTCAGTGAAGATCTCTGGTGCTGCTTTGTTTTAACCGCAGCATTAGGAATAATATTAAGCTTTTACATTAAATGTGAGGGAAGAGTACTTTGGAAGATTGGGAGGGCTTTTCTCTTTCAAGCACTCTGGTTATTTTGGCAATCAGGATGAGTTTAAAATTGTTGAATGCAATAATATGTAGGAGGGCGACATCTTGAAATGTTTCTTAATTTTAAGTATGTTTTTGAGCAAGTGTTTGTATGCTGAGGTTTTTGCTGGGGAGGTTGAAAGGCGTATTGGATTATATGCTATTTGCTCCGTGTAAGCAGTGACAATTTATTGCTGCAGATACATGTGATGCAACGTGCAAAGATTAGTTCTATCCTCTCTAAAGCATGATTATTTTGGGTCCTCTTTATACCTTAAATAGATATTCTTCCCATGTGATTTCCATCTTTTTGTGTCAACAGCCCAGGCTAAAGTTGAAATAAATGTTGCATCAGCTTAATAGCACAGGCTCTGAAGAAATCTGCTCTCTGTTATGGAGATTGTTTAGAAACCTTTTCATTTTACATTTTTCCAATGTGCAGTGCAAAGATCTTACGAATCCTGAAGCCTGCTTGGTTCCTCTGGACCTGTCTTGTGCAGATAGCTGATGGACACTGACGAGTAGCGTCCCGAGCAGAGCAGCAGTGTTTAGATACCCCCCTTTTTAGTTCATGGTGAGGAACTGTGGCTTCTTTCAGGGATGTTTACAAGTGAGCAGCTGTTAAAATTCACGGCCATGCAATTTTTGACTCTTGTTGGCTGTGTGAGTTTTCTCTCAAGCAGCAGATTTCTTCTTTCCAGATTTCTGCAGTGATGAGGAAGGATGCTGTAACCCTGCAAGCCGTCGCGAGCTGGCTGGGGTTTTGGCATGGCGTGGCAGGAGAAAGGTTGCGTGGTCGTGTGCGTGTCCTCATCTGCTCCGCTCCCAGTGCTGCCAGAGGGGAACAGGCTCTTGGAGGAAGGGAGGACCTCAGGGACAGCCCTGTGGAGCAAGACTCTCTGCCATCTCCTCCCCTTTCCCTAGTCTTGTTTCCATTTTTTAATCGCTTGCTCTTGTCAGGCTGCAGACCTGGTGCCAGGGCATTTAGCAGTTTGGAGTCAGCGCTGTCCAGCTGGTGGAAGGTGCCTGGGAAATGTCGATAGAGATGTTTCTATCAAAGCAAACAGCAAAATGAATGATTTTGCTCTTAATGACTTTGTAGGCTGGAGTCAGCAGGGCAGGGGAGTGTGGCTGGTGAACTGGTGTGTCTGTGCTTGTGGCTTGGTTAGAACAGCTTAACGCAGACTTTGGTACTGGAAAGCTCCTGACTGAGGCCTTTTGCACCTCTCTTACAGCATCATCATGACAACAGAGAAGAGTCTAGCGGCGGATGCCGACAGTTCAGAGCAGCAGCAAGCCAAGGAAGAGGAAGGAGCTGCTGAAACACAAAAACAAGAGGCTTCCCTAGAGGAAGGGGCTCAGCAGACGTCGGAGGGACAGCCTGCGGCGGGGCAGAAGCCGAAGGCCTCCAACGGCGACACACCCACGCACGAGGAGCAGAGCAAGAAGGAGCGCCGCACCTCCGAGGGCCGGGGTCTCTCCCGCCTGTTCTCATCCTTTCTCAGGAGGCCCAAGTCTCAGGTGTCCGAAGAGGACAAAGACACTGATGCTCCTAAAGAGGTCAGAGGTGACCAGAAGGACCCGGGATTAGGAGCCAACCCTGATGAAGATATTTTGGTGAAAGCCCCAATTGCAGCTCCTGAGCCGGAGCTCAAAACTGATCCATCGCTAGATCTTCACTCCTTAAGCAGTGCGGAAACACAGGTAAAACACCTTGCTCCATGTGATGTGCTCCTTTCTCTTCTTGAAAATGTGTCTTTTTAGCCAAAACTAGAAAAACTTCATATCCTAGGATGGTAAGCTTGATCAGAAAACCCATGAGATGCTAAAAAGGCTCTTGTAAGCTCCCTGCGTTGCATCACGTGCTTCCCACTCTTGCATTCCTCTGTCAGACTGTCTCGCAAAGTACCTGCTCCTGAAATTGTGCTCACACCTTACAGCATAACTTAAAATGCCCCATGCTGACTCTTTACTCTGCTGAGGCATGGGAAGTCACTTCAGAACTAGGGCTCGGATTCATAATTCATGGCGTAATTCACAGTTGCCCATCAGGATGTCCTTGGTGTGTGCAGGGCAAAGGCAGGTCAGTGGCGTGAGGTGGAGAGTGTTAGAGGACGTGGATTTGGGAAAGGGTTTCTTCAACTTGAAGGAGCACAAGTGTGGCATTTCAGAACGTGGTCACCAGTTCAGTCCGGGCTGATGCTGAGCCTGCCAAATACAAACATTTTCTGCTTATGCATCATGTAGACAGGGATTTCTGCACAACACGTGGGCTGAGCCTAGCTCCTAGTAGCTGTCTGACATCTACTCTTTACAGCCAGGGTCATTTTTTTCCTACAAAATTTAAAGGTTTTAAAGCATGGTAGAAACTGAAGCAGACACCCCCACAGGGAAACACTTGCAAAGCTGCAGCTGGTTATTGATTTGCAGATATTGGACGCCCTCTCTTACTCCTTGGGTAGCTCCAGGCAGCTCTGCTGTTAGTGATGCAGCTGCCTGGAGTTAGAGGAAGGTGGGTGCTCCTGAGATGGGGATTTCTTACAACCCAACCAGCCTGTGTGTATTGCCGGAGTCAGAGCACATTCGTGGTAAAATCTGGATTACTTACCCTGCTGCCTTAAGTTCTGAATGAACACCAGAGAGGTGTCACATATCTGCAAACTCTGACTTTTGGAGCGATACAAGTTAGAGCATCGCCAACTGCAGGCAGTCATTGTAAATCCACCTCCTTAAAATTACAAAGTTGTAGAGAAGGTAGTAAGTAACACCTTTTATCTTTTTTTTTTTCCCAAATTTCTGAGCTTGTGAAAACCGTGTGATGATCTCTGCTTGTGTTTTGTACCTCTGAGGGTTGGGATTAGCAGAATGGGGAGGAGATGGAAATTTTAATGCAATTTCAGCCCAGAAATTGTGCCTTCAAGAGGAAAATGCATGATTTCTTTCTCTATTTAACTTCGATTTGCTGCTTCTGAGTGCATGTGAGTGTGCAGCCACAGCCTTCCTTCACCATGGGCTGTTGTTTCAGACGAAGCATTTGCGCTTTTCTTTTTTTTTTTTTAGTTCTTATTTTAGATCAATGTCAGTGGCTTTTTGAACTGTGACACTCGGCAGATATTTCTGCTGTGAAAGCATTTGTGAGGTGCTGCCTGTTTGATAAATGCTGACTGACGGGCATTACGAGCTTTGACTGATTCTCTGCTCCCGATTATCCCAGCCCTGCTGGAACAGAAGTCAGCAGCTTGTGGACATTATTTAGTTTTTAAATACCTCCGTGCAGTTGTGCCTGGTTGTGATTTCATGAGATGCGATGGGCTGAAAAGACAGGGTTTTGCTCTTCCTCTGCCGTGGCGGCGTGTTCCTGCTGCATCGAGCCACTTCCAGCACTTGTCAGAGCCTGCCGTGAACTCCTTTAACTTGCTGAAACGGCAGTGGGAAAAAAAAACCAGCTTCCTTCCTCCTCCTGTCAACAAACTGCAACTCTTTCTGCTGTTTTAGTGAATTAAACTGGCTCACAAAGTGCTTCAGTAGGCAAAGGGAGAGTGGCATGAAGGCTGCCTTCACTTTTTGGTGGCAGAGCGCTGCTCGATCAGCTCAGAGGGCTGTGAAATCTCAGCGCTGACCCCCCCTTTAATGCCACTGCTGCTGTACTGGGGGCTGGTGGCACTGGAGCAAAGCGAGTCACCCAGGGCCCAGTGAGAGCCAGCGCAGTGGGTGCGCTGGGTGTCTGTCCTAGGAGGGGAAAATCTTACTAGTCCAAAAGGTGCTGTCGTTAAGACCATGAAGATTTGCATGATGAAACTGGCCTTGATTTCTCTAATCAACCCTTTTTTATTTTTTATTACATCTTTTATTAAATGAAGACTTGAGAATGACTTGAAGGGCTTTAAAAATTAATGCCGTTACCTTGCTCATGTATGCTGCTGCTCCAGGTCCCAGGTTACACATTTAAGTCAGATAACTGATTCTGTGGCGAGATCCCAGCCCTACCTGTGCAGTGCTTGTTTCTTGTGATGGTTTTTTTTGCTTGACACCTCTAAATTGCAACTTGGGTGATGGGGGGGTTTCAGCCTGCGCAGGAAGAGAGGAGGGACGACCAGGAGCCGACCAGCACAGACCTCGGGGGCAAGGAAGGAGGGGAAGCGAAGGAAGAGGGGGCCAAGCCAGAGCTGAAACAAGAGACTGCAGAGACCAAAGCAGAGAAGGATTTGAAAGCTGCCCAGAAAGCAGTAAAAAGACACAGAAACATGTACTGCAAAGTCGTCTTGCTGGATGACACCATTTTTGAGTGCGCCATGGATGTAAGTACTTCTGGTGTTTGTTTCTGCTTCGCCTCTTTTCCCTCTCCCTTCTCCTCCCCCTGAAAAATCACCACAAACACAATTTAATAGGGGCCTAATTTGCTGCCAGTGAATTACGTGACAGGCTTTACTGCAGAACAATATTGCTGTAAGCTATAACAATTTATTGTTGTAAAAATCTCTGGGTGCTTAGGAATTTTTTTTTTTTTAAATTGTTCTATGATTTCCAGGGTGCCTTGCTTTGTAAAGGTGGGGGTCAGTCAGGAAAAAAACCCAATTTATCTTACTTGCTGTTCATCTTCTCCCTCATTTATATCCCAGAGCAGAGTTTTTGTGTTAGGCTGGGATCGTCTCAATATCTTCTGCCCCATTCCTGTGGACAAAATGGGTTGTCAAGTTGATTTGTGTTTTTCTGTTCACCCAAGGTACCTTCACCTATCAGGCTGCAGGCTAACATAACTCCTGGAGCTTGGATGCACAGAAAAACATGCTGTGTTTAGCCTACACCTGAATATATTTGCAGTAAACAGTTTAAAATTATTATGTTGACCTACAGCCACGCAAAACACTTAATCTGAGAGCTTTGCTTCTGCTTTATTTTGAGCATTCTCTCACAGGGCTGTCTTGCTGTCAGGGCAATAAAAAGCTAGCAGAGATGCCCGTTTCAGTATTGAAGTACTTGTCCAGAATATTAATAATCTGGTACACACCATTCAAACATATTCCCATCCGCTTGTTTTTCCCCAGTCCCGCTGGTTTAAACAGGCCAGGAGAGGGGATCTGGGCACAGGGCTCCTGTGAAAGCTGTTACCTTGGGTGATCCTGGGCAAGTAGGTCAGCGCTGGCCATTTGTGTAACGGTGTTGCTGCTGTTGCTGCCTGGGATCAGCTCAGAGCGTCACTGCCCTGATCACCATCCCCTTTGCTGGGGATTTTGTGTGCAGCCCCCGAAAAGAAACTCTTCCCTGAAATGCTGGTGATGCTTTGCTCTGGCTTTGTGTGTGAGTTTGCTGCAGCGATGCCTGTAGATACCGGCAGGCTGCACGGATGCTGTCGTGGGAGGGAGAGCTGCAGGTGGGGTGGTTGGTCCTGCCTTGAGCAGGACGTTAGAAGTCTCTTTCTATAAGTCCAGCGGGTTGTGGTGGGTGCTGCGGAGAGGATTAGGAGGGGCTGCTGTGCTGGTGAGACCCTCTTGACTTGACAAGTACCCTTGGCTTTAACGCCGATCTAATCCTGCTCTAGCAGTTTGAGAATTTATTAAGACTTAATTGGGAAGGAATTGCAAAGGTGTAGGCAAAGAGCAGCACAAATGCCTTTATCCGAGAAGAATAAGTGCTTTCAGGCATCATCTCCAATTGATGGCCATGGAAGGTTTTTAATTCCTGGATGTCTTTAAGTGCCGATTCCTTAAGAAATCTCCAGGCTAACAGATGCACTGTGTTACCTATAGAGTCACACCGTATGCACTAAAGACCTTACAGCTGAAGGACTGGAATAAAAGGCGGCTATGATCTTGGATCAGTTGCCATGCAAATATGACTAAAAGGAGAGATGCAGGCGCAAGCGATGCATTAGTAAAGCTTATTTTGCATCACTGGATCCGTGGTTTCTTCTTAGCAGAGCCTCCAATAGAATGAGCTGCTTCTGGTTGCCATAGTTTTGTGCCTCAGGGATGTTTTCCTTCATGCTTTTGAACTAAAAGGGTATCTGTTCCTAGGGCCAGTTCACTTCTGCAGGATTTGGGAAGGAAAAAAAAAAAAAAAAAGAGATAGGAATGCTCAAAGTCTATTTCTTGTGGCAGGAGGTTGTGTGCTAAGCAGCTTTCGGTGCGTAAGGCAAAACTGGAGAAGCTGGGTTTCATCAGCAGCTCGGGTTGATGAAAAGGCGACGAAAATGATGATCTTTGGTTCCGAGCTGCTGTTTCTTTTGTGACCTGCTAAGCCAGGTTGCCCCAAAACAGGCGACTGTAGCAGTGGGTTGTAGCAGCAGTTTCTTACCCTGCGTTGATTGTCTTTTGATCAACACCTGATTGACAGGCTGGAGCTGGGAGATACCGCTGCAGTAGATGCACTTTGAGAGGGAAAATCCCTACAAATCCTCAGTGTTTATTGAGTTGTGCTGAGAAGCTTGGCTTTGGCGGGGCTTCAGACACGGAGCTGGTGGTAGCAGAGAGACCTGGAGTTTCCATTGCCTTTCCAGTTTGAATTTTTACGCCTGATGGTCTTTCCTGTAATGGGTGCTTGCTCAGAAACAGCCAGGGGATCTGATTTTGAGCTACTTGGGACTTCTTTCCCTTCTTGGCAATGTACAGTGTGGTTCGTTTATGTTCCCTTTCTCCCCTCTCCCATGAGGAGGCAAAAAGCAGCCCGACCTACAGAACTTCTTTTGTGTATTTGCAGAAACATGCCAAGGGGCAGGATTTACTTAAAAAAGTCTGTGACCACCTCAATCTCCTGGAAGAAGACTACTTTGGTTTGGCCATATGGGACACGCCGACCTCCAGGGTAAGCAGCTGCTGTTGTGTGTTGTTCTGCACGCAGGTGGATGCAGCTTTTTTGAGGGAGCATCTCCCCTGAGGAGGAGGTGGTGCATGAGCTCTTCTTAAAAATGCTTTTGGTGTCCTCCTCAAAAAAGGACTAAGAGGGTTAGAGGCAGAAATGATGAATAAATGACTACAGGAAGGTGGATTTTAGTAAAAGAGCTATGTGGACTTGTATCTCCACCTGTAGAAAATTCAATATATTAGTTTACTGCGAAATGATGCCATTAATTTGTAAAGCTATAGCTCAAGAAGTTAGGGGAAGAGAAGTCTTTTCTCACTCTAAAAAAGCAGCAGGTTTTTTTAGTTGTGATTTTAAGAAGAGGTTAACTGCTCTTAGGCTGTAGAAGATGAGCCTGAATGATGACAGACTGCAGGCAGAATTGACAGTCCTGGAGCCTGTGTTCACCAAACTGAGCAGGAGTAAAACCTGGCAGCCCTGACACTGGTGTGATTTTTTTTTTTTTTTTTTTTTTGGTAAGGTTTGGTTGGAGCCATCCAGAGCAGGTTTGAATTGAGGCCTTTCCCTGTGAAAGGACATGCGTGACGCTTCTCATTCCAAAACTCTTACTCATATGGTTTCAGTTTAAGGTCTTTGTTTGGTTAGACTCAAGTGGTGTCTTATATCTTAAGCCCTTGGTTATGCTTTAACCCAAGCAATTACTCAAGCTCTGTTTGATGAAGCTAGATGAAGTGTGCTAAACTGAAATCAAAGGCCCAGTTTTATCTCCTTTGGACCAGTTACATTGGTTCACATTCTGACTATTCCTGTGCTTCACCTACAGCAATCACTTACGGGCCAGGTTACCATGGCTGATGGACATTTATCATTAGACTTAATAACTGCAAGTGTGAACTTCTAACAGTCAGAGTAACACCCCATTGCTATCTGAGGCAGGCAGAGTTCTGTCTTGGGTTTGTTTTACTGTCTCTGGTGCCTGGCTGTTTTCTTTTATGTGAAATTTGCTTCCATGTACACAGCCTGGATTTTTTTCCTCTAGGAGTTTGTTGAGCTTGCAGAGGGAGGGATAGGTGTGCTTTGAGATCCAGTTAAGAGTAAAAAGCGTTTAGCTGGAGCCTCTCATACTTGTGCTCGCTGCTGCAAGACCCCCGGGACTTCCTCTTCTCACATCCAGGCATGCTGGTGTCGATTCTTCCAAAAGCAAAAGCATGTACCTCCTTCCTCCCCAGCCGACAAGGGCTAAGAGGTGGTGCAGCTTTTTAACTGTAGGGACTGAAAACAAATAATTCTGTCAGATTTGTGTCCCGGAGCTGGGAGCTGAGGAAGGTAAAGCCTCTGCTTTGGGTTTAGCTCCAGTGCAGAGTGAGCTGCTTGGTGGAAGTCTTTGCTCTGCTGGGGGGAAACACCATTTTGGGGATTTTTGGGGGGAAATCTTTCTGGTTATGTTTGATTGAACTTCAGACTCTGAAGCTCCATGTCTCTCCTGCTGTAACTTCAAACAGGACCCAACATCAAGTTACTGATTGACAGGTAGAAATGATCTTAATAGGAGACCAGTGGGTGAGCTGCTGCACCTCAGCCACAGCTGTGCAGAGCAGGTGAAGATGCACGTGTGTATTCCTGGACAGGGAGGGGTTGTTTGAGGCATTTTCCACCTTGGTATTTAGGGAATAAACCTTCCTGGGGACAGATGTTTTCCCACATGGGAATAGCAGGGGGTGACAGTGGGAGTAGAAGATTGTGACAGTGGATAGAGCAGCCGGTCACCACCGAAGGAGCTTGATGCTCATGTTGCTCTGAAAGGGAGGATTGTTTCTCAGTGATTCATGACACAGTGTAGATAACAGTGCCATTAATTGCTGTACTTGTCTGCTGGATCAGGCAAGGTGAGTGCTGAGGGTGTGTGACTGCACCCCGGGCTCGGCTGCCCGCAGCCTGTTACCAGCTGTTCTCACCGCAGTGGCACCAGCGTGGACGCAGAGATGCTCTGCTTAAAACCGTGGTCCTAAAAAGACAGGAGGTGACATGTCTACCTTCCAAATGGCTTTCGTATCCTCAGTTTTATGGGTTAGAGGGGCAAGCGTATAAAAAGATAAGATTAAATGTAAGTATCGCTGTCTCCCTGCCATGAAGTTACGTGTCCTCGTCAAGTCAGATTAGCTTGGGGGATTCAGTGAGTTAATTCCTTCACCTCGGGAGACCTGGATGTCCAAATCCTGCTCAGAGCACGTGAAAATGAAGAAGGTGGTTTAATGTAGCCTCTCCAGGAGGGTTGTTAGCACCACGCCGTCCCCTTCAGCGGGGCAGACCCTGACCTCTGCAAAGGGAAAGGCTCAGCCTTCACGTGCCAGGAGTTGCTCAGACTGTGCTGGCAAAAGCAGGAATTGTTTTTTCAGGCTTATGTTGCACCACCATCCCACAAACCCCCAAATTACAGAGTGGGGGGGGAAAGAATATATTTCTAAATTTGTAGCTGAGATAATTACTAGAAACTTGAGTCATACTTAAGAGACGAAGTTTATGTCATGCTCCTGTAAAAGATTCCAGCCTTCTCTGGTGATTGGAAGTTTTCGCTCATGTTTCAGTGATTAGGTTGTTAAAAAACATAGTTAATAATAGAAAGTCTTGATAATCTTTGTTCTGAGTAGAGTAAGTGTGGAGATAGGGTGCCTAAAATTAATGCAAACATCCTATTTGCCTATTTTTAAAAGTTCTGAAGAGAAAATAAAGTCTTGCCCAAGTGCTCCTCGTAGCTGGATGTGGCTGGGACCGTATCTGCTGCTGTGTGCTTGCAGCCCTAATATACTGATTTTGTTTTTTTTTCTCCTGCTCCTTATCCCTCCCCTGTGAGTACCTGGTAGGTGAAGGGTTGGAAATACACCCACCGACACCACACACTGGAGTAAAAATTGTAAAAAATGCACCGTCTTTCCAGTTTCCATGGCTGCGTTCATGTCAAATGTTGTCTTTTTGCTGTATTTTTAGCAATTTGCAGTTTTCTGTGGTGTTTCTGGAACGTCTGTTAAACTGTGAATGTTTTTATCCTCTTACAGACGTGGCTGGATCCTGCCAAAGAAATAAAAAAACAGGTTCACGGTAAGTAGATCGAATTTATCGGGTGGGTGTGTGTGGTTTCTCCCTGCTTCCCTAAATAAGCATGGCTTTGGTGGGGCAATCTGGGGGGCCTAAGGGTGTCTGTCAGGGATCAGCCCAAGTTGAAGCAGTCTGTGCATCCTTTCTCTTCGTAAGTACTTAGTGATGTTCTAGATTTAGGAAAAAAAAAGTCATTTCCTTGGGAAAACATTGCTTGGGCTGTGTTTGCCCTATGCAAACCCACGCTGTCCTTGCTACCGTGAGATGCTGAAATGGAAAATTTGCTCCCTGTTGGAGGATGGGAAAACAGGTGTCAGTGGGAACCATTTAAATCTCGAAGGAGGTTGGGAGAGCCTGACCAAAATTGTATCCTGTAGCAGAGTGGACCCTGAGGCTGTTTCGAGGTCCAAATAGGGGCACTGGAATGATAAATGGCTTGAGTAGTACCAGGGCAAATACCAGATGCTCTCCAGAGTTGTATTTTAAGGTCTGCTGGCACTGAATTAGTTCAAGATGAGGGCAGTGTCAAAGTTAAATAAATTTTAGAGTTTTCTGTTTTCTCTCAGGAGCAAGTCTGACTGCTTTGAAAGTAAAATACTGTTTTATGAAAGTAAAATACTGCTTTACGTATGCTTCTGGTGGGGGGTGCAGAGCAAGCATGTCATTGAGTACTGGGGGGAAATGCTGCTGGGCTATGGAGTAAGAAAAGCTCCTGCTCTTACCAACTTCTCTTTGAACCGATAGCAGGATGTGTGTAAAGGGCATGAGCTGCTCTGACTGTGCTGTGCAGGTAAAATTCAGCTCATCAGTGTGATGAGCAACCTCCTGTGGAATGTGGTCCCCTGAGATGGGTTAAATGGCAAATGATTTGATTTTACTTTAATACAAGTTTACATATGAATATGTGTACACCGATGTATGTTGGTTTAGGTGACCTCTGCTACCTAAAATGTCTTTTTGAAATAACCTGTCATGAACTCTGTGTAATGAAAACAACATGCCTTGTGTTTAATCCCAGTTATGGCGTTGCATAAGAAATAAATCCATGAATGCTACGTTCCCCCCTCCTCCCTGTTTGAGATTGCAGTAAATCTCTGTGCAAGTTAAGCTCAGGCATCTTCTCTTTCTGACATAAATACTGTTTTGAACTAGTGTTAAAGGGCACAGCAGGAGGGAGCTGTAACTGTGAAAATTACTTCCAGTGCTTAATGGGTTGGTCAGGACTATTTTCTGTGGGTAAATGTGATTATTATCAAGAAGAGGGAGTAACCCCTTCAGCTGTGTCACCTAGAGTGTCCATACCACATATCATGTCAATTCTAGGTGTGATCATGTGGATTCTCGCTCCAGTTAATGCCTGTAATGGTGCTGTGCAAGGTTTGAAACAAGCTGTATTAAAACATTTAGGTCTGGATTTGTAAAGCTCTGCCTGTCTCGGTGCTTGCTGGTTTCATCCAGAGATTGATGCTTGTATCGTGCTGAGTTTAAACTGTGGTCTGACCACCCGACCACTGTGCATTAGGCTGCTGAGGGAATTGGCACATCTGCTCTTTATGAGAAATTTGAAAATTGGGTTGAGTGATAAAACAGTACTAATCCATTAACTTACAGCACACGCCTGACCTCTCTTCATGAATCCTTCTTTTCAATCAATGAAAAAATATGTAATTCAAAGCTCTTGCCAATGAGTTTAGCTTTTTTTCACAAGTTGTGTTTTATTCATGTGGATTTGCCTGCCCTGTTTTCCCTTGTAAATGAAATTGTATCTTACGCTGTCTGCTAAGCAGCAGCCAGCTGTGCGAGCAGACAGTATTAAAATCACTATTATGATCTGCTGGCTGTATTTTGAAGATCAGATTGGATATTCCCAGCTTTTTTTTGTAATGACCATCACAAAGCTGTTCTGGTTATTTTTCTCAACCTCTTCTTTGTAATTGCAGGAGGCCCCTGGGATTTTACCTTCAATGTCAAGTTTTATCCACCGGACCCTGCGCAGCTGACGGAGGACATAACCAGGTGAACTACCTGGGTATCTTGCTGCCAGCCAGGGACCTCGCTCAGCAGAGCAGTGAATATTGAATAGAAATTTGTAATATTTGGGTGTTTTTTCCATCCCTTGGCAAGGAAATCAGATGTCTTAAGGGTTTGGGAGGGGTTTTGTTTGTTTTTAGTGGGTGTGTGGGATGCTTCCACTTTCCACTGAAGTCCACGTGTGTACAGCAGTGTCATTTATAATCCTGGCATGCATATAGAAATTTTTTTTTAAAAGCGAGTTTTTCCTGTTCATAAGTGTCCCGTACTTACTTTGCAGAGTGGAGGTGACTTTAAGTCCTCCTATCCTCCATGCTGTTTACCACGGGGATATTAACCCATAAGCAGAAATTCAGGTAGAAATTAGAAACAAGCATCATGTTGCATTCATCAGTGGCATTAACAAAGAGATTCTGTTGGATCCTCAAGTTTCTCTATGCTCTCTGTAAAAAGTATTTTGCTTCCTCCTCTCCCCCAGGTATTATTTGTGTCTTCAGCTTAGACAAGACATTATTACGGGGCGGCTGCCCTGTTCCTTTGCAACTTTGGCTCTGCTGGGATCCTACACAGTCCAGTCCGAGCTGGGAGACTACGACCCTGATCTACACAGCCCAGATTACATCAGTGAATTTAAATTGGCCCCAAACCAGACCAAGGAGCTCGAAGAGAAGGTTATGGAGCTTCATAAAACATACAGGTAAGATGCAGCGGCTGGAGGACTTGTTTGTGCACAGCAGCCTGAAATAACAGGGCTTTTTGGTATTTTCCCCACCTCTGCTGTATGCTTTTGGTTTCCTGCTGCACCAGGGTTTTTATGTTGGCAACAGAAACTTTAGCAGTACAGTGTGAATTTTCAGCTACTGAGAACATCGGCTTTCTAAAAAAGTTCTAATACTTTATAACAAAATCTTTCTAGAAGCTGGATTTTTTTTTTTCCCTGCTTGAAGAAGAAATTATATTTTCCAAAAGCAGGTACAAAGTCTTGTATTTATCAACAGGTGCTCTTTTTCAACAGTATAACTGTGAAAGTGGGTTTTATTTCATGTGAAAATACAAAGCTTGCTTTTTTTAATCTTTTCCTTCCTCTTATTTTTTTAATATTTGCTTTGGGATTTATGTAACTGTTGGATTGCAGTCTGGTTGGAGCAGATCTTGCCTCTTTCTGTATATGCTGTAGCCTACAGCATGTTTGGGGTTTTCTGCCGTCGCATTTAATGAGTAACACTTTCTAACATGGAAGTATTCCAGATGATGCAGGAGATATAAACCTGCAGTTAGGCTGTCCTCCTCGCGTTTCCCAGCATGGCCATGACCTGGGCAGATGTCTCAGGTAGGGTTGAAGGACCCTTGGGAAGTCCCCCTGATACCTGATTAAAGTGTGACAGTAATCCTCATCTTATTTTGAGTTTATTTTCATAGATACTCTCGAGTGCTTGGATTGCAGGAGCTGTGTGGAGCTCGCCATTGCAGAGGGGCTGGTGTGGAGAGCGGCCAGCTGGCAGCTTCTGCACCCTCACAAAGACACATTTGGGTTTTAGGGGAGTAAAAAAAAAAAACAAAAAAAAAAAAACCATAAAACCACTTGGTGATACCAAGGCCTTCAACCGGCAGCCCCTTGACCTGTGGAAAGCTGCTGGTTGATGCACTAATAACGAGAACAGAGCAAAGAGGAGATCTTCTCGCAGAGGGACGGCAACTAATAACCTGAGTGCAGTAGGGAGGGGTGGATGTGTGCCCCCAGCTGTGACCAAAGCTACAATTAACACCTTGCTCAACCCTGCAAATCAATACTCTAAATTGATTCCCCTCCATTTGCACTGAGAGGAGAGGAAATGAGGGAAAATAAGTACTGGGCCACTGACAAGCTTCATGACTGGAAGTCAAAGGCTGTTAGCTGTGCTAGAAGTGGCAGATCACGTTGCTGAATTATTCATGGCTTCATTAGAAGGATACTTCAAGGTATAGGATGTAGTTATATTTAACCTGCTCCTGCGTGCAGGAAGGAGCAAGGTGTACCCATTTAATTTCTGGTCTCTATTCTGTGAACATTAAACTGCCAGTGGGGCTTCAGTGGGAAAACTCTGCCAGTGGGAAAACTCTGCTAAACCGTGCTCTGCCTCTTGCTGCTTTATTTGCAGAGCACGAGGCACATGTTGGAGATGGCGGCTGCTCCTGGGTCTTTCCTAGAGGGTTGTCCTTAGGGTTGTCTTTGTCTGCCCTGTCTCCTACCACTAAAACCATTATTTTCATCGCAGACAAGAAGTGTGTGAGCGCTCAGTAAGGAAGACATCAAAGCAGGGGACAAAAGGAAATGTATGCAACTGAATACTCTCCCAGCAGAGCTGTTAGATGTACCTCATACACCAGAAACTTATTAACAAGGGCACTTCAATAATGTGGCTAATAGCCTCCATTATCAGGATGTTTCTGTTAAGCGAAGTTGTGTTGTGTTGCCCCTCCTGCCGGCAGGGTCCCATCTGTTCCCAGAAAACCTCTCATTCATCTGCTCTGCCCCAGTAGGATTCGCTGCCGAGTGGTCTCAGCTGTTGTCCTTGCGTTTGGTTTGGAGAACAATAGCTGGGTTTGGGGAGGTCTGAGGCAGGAGGTCTGGGAGGACAGTGCCTGTCACCCTTTGCCTTTGGCTGAATTAGTGTTTCTTCCACTGAATCAAGTTTTGTGCCCCTCACTGTACTTCCTTGCTTTCTTCTCTAGTGTCTGTTCAGCTCCACAGACATAAAGTGCATCCATTTTATGAGGATGTTTCAAAGCACGGATTTGTTCATTCAGAGTAATTTAATAATTCATCATCTGGGCACAGATTTGTTTGTATTGAAAGCAAAAGAAAATCTCACAAGTAAATGTTTTTTTGAAGTCTGACCTGTCCCCTCCTAAAAGCAACAGTTAGGGGAGTACCAAGCCCTTCCTCTCTTTCCCCAGATCCATGACTCCAGCCCAAGCAGACCTGGAATTTCTTGAGAATGCAAAAAAGCTGTCTATGTATGGAGTCGACCTTCACCAAGCCAAGGTGAGAATCGGCACGCGTGCACCTGACTGTAGATTTTGTAATTTGATTATCCTTCCCTTGCGGGAGCAAGTTTACCTGTTTCAGGAGGCTCCTTTTGAAAGATGTAGGAAGTAAGCTGGCTACTGGTACAGAAACACAGACACACAGCAGAAGTGCCTCAAGCACTGTTGCAAGTGTTGTAAGATAAGTGCTTCTTGCCGACTGTTCATTATTTATATATGAGAGGAAGATTTGCAAAGCTACTGATGGAGACAGGTCCTTGCTGTGAGGAACTTGGAATAAGGCTCTGAGCCTGCAAGGTGAGCCAGTCTGCTCAGGGAAATGCAGGATAGACTCTAGACCAGCCCTTTGAGCAAACAGCAGAAGGGAGGAGGTTGTAAGGAGAAATGTGGAGGAAAAGCAGGCCTGGCCCTGGCTGCATGGGGAGCTGGAAGCTGAAGTCTGGGTGGTGGGGAGATGAATTTGGGGGAAGACCAAAGGGGTGATTTGGAAGGCAGACACTGACCTGAAACTTTTAACTCTTGACACTGTTTAAATCCTCATCTGCTTCCTCAGGACTTGGAAGGAGTGGATATCACTCTGGGAGTCTGTGCCAGTGGCCTTCTTGTTTACAAAGATAAACTGAGAATCAACCGCTTCCCTTGGCCCAAAGTCCTGAAGATTTCCTACAAACGCAGCAGCTTCTTTATTAAGATTCGGCCAGGGGAAGTACGTTCTGTCTTCTGTCCTCGTGTCTTCTTTAGTTGCATTTTGATTATCACCAGCGCGTGGGCTTCACTAAAACAAAGTGCGGGGAGGGAGCAGGCTTTTCTCTGGGTGAGCATCAGAGGGTTGCTGATCTGGGCTTGGTATTAAGTTCAGGTAGAGCCTGCTGACCTTGCTGAAGCTGTAACCAGCCGGTGACAGTTTAAACAACGTGTCATCCAGCACCACCTCCTGGCACCGCCTGGTATTCCCAGCATCCAGAGGAAACCGGTGGGAATTCACACTTGAAATTGGGAGAGGGCTAACTCCTTTTTTGGAACAGGAAAAGACAAAGGCTCTTTGTCTTGCTTTCATTGTTTTTAGAAAAAAAAAAAAAAAATAAAAAAATTAAAAAAATACAGACACATACCTTTTCACTCAGCCTGCAGCAGACAGGAGGTGGCTGCCCTGATGCTGCCTCTGGTGAACGGGGAGATCCCTGGAACAGTCTGGTCACTGGAAACACCAGTGGGGAGAGAGGCTACAATGGGGGTCTGCCTTGTTCTTCGTCTTCTTCCTCCTCCTGCTGCAACTGCCATGACACAGCCTTGCCAGGAGGTCAATTTTTGACCCCATCCCATAGCTGGGCAGAATGACGGGGGGATAAGTGAGTCTGAATGGCCGCAAAACCCACATCGTGCTCCTCTGCACATCCTGGTGCATCCTGAGAGATGGCCCAAGCCTTGTCTTTTCTTGACCCAAGCTCCTCCTGCACATTGTGCAGTGAGTTCAGCTGCTCTTGGGCTAGACCAGCAGATTGTGCCACAGCAGAACAGATCGATGGGCTTGGGGACTGGACTCCTGCCACATTTATTTCTTGCCATGCCTAAATAACTTCTATTTTCTGCAGCAAGAACAGTATGAAAGTACAATTGGGTTCAAGCTACCAAGTTACCGGGCAGCGAAGAAGCTGTGGAAAGTATGTGTTGAACATCACACGTTTTTCAGGTGGGTGTTCTAAACAGTAGGCTCACCCTGAATAACTAATGCCTTAGGTCAGCTGCTGAAAATGAGCACTCCTTCAGTGTTCCTTAGGGTTTCACAGAGATTGGAGTGAAATGGTTGCAGAGACATGAAGTTGTTTATATTGAATAAATTTCTAGGCAGCTTCCACTTCGTAAGATTCATAAGACAGAGGTCTTGTAGCTTATGTAGGTGTGAGGTTCATTGTTAGTGCATTTCGTTTTGTTAATCAAGTGTCTGCAAGAGGCTTCTTTAATTTGTATTTCAGCTTCTCTTTACCTGATGCTTCCTAGATCTGGAGGTATGATTTTTAAAATTGAGCGTGTGCTTTTCAGGCTGACTTCCACCGAGGCCATCCCCAAGAGCAGGTTCCTGGCACTGGGCTCCAAGTTCCGCTACAGCGGGCGGACGCAGGCGCAGACGAGGCAGGCAAGTGCCTTGATCGACCGACCCGCTCCCCAGTTCGAGCGGACGGCGAGTAAGCGAGCCTCCAGGAGCCTCGATGGAGGTGAGTGTCTGCTGCCTCGTCCCTCTGTGTGGCTGGACTCAACAGAGTGCTGAAATACTCCTTAAACACCACCTAAATTCCCTGCTTGGAAAAAAAAAAAAAAGCAAAACTTCTCACTTTAATACAAAGGCTGGTTATGAAATGCAAACTGATAGTACTAGCAAGAACCAACTGATGTCAAAAGGGTGTAGGCGGGTGCTGAAGGCTTATGCTGAAGTTCTGGTTGTAAAGATACTTCCTCATTCAATCCCAATGCATTTTACTTTTAGAAAATCAGGAATTAAGCTAATATAGGATTTGTTTTGTTTAGTGTAGTTTTAAGTGACATAGTTTTCATTGAGGAGGTTTTTTTGCCACAATTGCTTGAAGCTTTTTCAGTGTGTTAAAGCAATGCTAACGCTGAAGTTTGTGGCATATTGGTCAGGTGAGCTTGTCCCTGATGTTTTTAAGAGCCAGATAGCAGCAGGCTAGAGGAGGTGAGGCATGGAAGGGGGAGCGCCTAAATTTGCTCCCCTTGATCTAGATGATGGGGTGCCTGTAAAATTAGGATCCAGAGAAAGGGGAGAATCCCTTTGCACTGAGGGCACCTGACAGAGCAGGAGCAGTGTTGCTTTGAACCCTGAGGTTGTGCTGCAAACCAGGAGAGAGCTTGGCTGCCCCAGTGCCCCGTGGCCAGCAGCAGCCAGGCTGCTCCTGCTCCTGGTGTGGGTTTATGGGGCTTTGGGACACCCCGAGCCGGGGCTTCATGCCTCAGGGCCAGGAGGGAAGGGCTGCTTGGATTGAGCTCTGTTTCGCAGCAGAGCAAAATGCCTGCTTGCTGGCAGTTTGGGGGTGTGAGGTTGCCCAGGCACGACGCAGCCCGTGCTGTTGGTTGCCCCTTGGCCATGCCCTGTAGACTGTTACGACCCCAGATGAGTAGAGAAATCCCCGCTGCAACCCCGCACCGGGATGTCAGAGCTTGGAAAAGAGCAGCCTGCGAATGTAACACTTCTGTCCCCGTTGAAGTCTGCAGCCTTTTTCCATCTGCTGTGTGGGCAGTCGTTAACATGTGCCCCATTTCTTCAGCTAAACGTGCGACTCAAAAAGTTGAGTTCAGAGCCGTAGAGGAAGAGAAGCAGGAGAAGGTGGTGGTGGTTGAGGTTCCCGAACCGAAACCCATGGATCAGATCCGAGAGAAGACAGGTATAGCTGTGGTGGTGGCTACAACTCTTCTGCAGCACCTTTCCTATCCTTTACATGCTTGTTCCTGACAAAAGTTTCACCAAATCTGGCGACTTTCTTTTTCCATTTCTTTGCAAGAAGAGTTTTGCAGTCAGAGGACAGACAGTCCAACAGAGCCCTGGCTCTGGGAGACTTGTTAAATTTCTGCATTGCACCTCGTTAGACTGTAATTCTTGTGGGAAAGTGCAGAAAAGTTCAGGATGTGGTGGCATTTGAAAACTGCCTCCTTATTAAATTCGGGTGGTTTTGTAAATGTGGATTAAAAAACTTTAAAGTTTGATCTTGAAACTTCTTGTAAAGCTTCTGAAATTCTTCATCCTGGGACCTGCTTGCCATTTTTAAAGTGTATTCTGGGTTTTTTTGGGGGCTTGAGAAATGCCACCTGTTTTGCTACATGTACATTGTATTGCTCTTAAGCTAGGTAGTATTAATAAATATTAATGCCCTTAAGAAGTGTGTAGGTACAACAGCATATCTGAATACTAATAAGTGCATTGCAGCAGCAGTGTTGTCAAATATTTACAGTCTTCATCACTTAAATAGTGAATGCCTGTGGTGCATTAGGGCTGGAGATAATTCGTATGCAAATGCCTTGTGTACTGCTCCACTTCCCTTCTTGCACCCTGATTTTTTTTACAGCGTGCTTTTGACATCACTGTTTTTCTAGTATGAAATCTGGATCAAGTTTTCATGAAGTAGTGTGACAGACTGGCTCCCTACCCCTGTCTTGCCTTGAATTCTCACTAGTCAAGCATCACCTGGCAGGAAAAACCTGATGCCATAAAAACAGAAGGTGGAGAATTTAAGACACCAGAGTAGATGGCTGTGTGTTCTTAATCTTTAGATTGGAAGTTGCTCATTCAAGTACATTTAATTAAAGCTGCTAGTTTTTGTAGAGGTTTTTATCTAGAGGAGCTTGGGGTGTCTCTCCTGGATTTTACCAGCCAGCACCTGCACCTCCCCAGACTTTGCCTGGTACCGCACTCGAGAGCCGTTGGCGTGTCCCCGTGCACCCCTTCCTGGGCAAGAAGCCTGCAAAGCTTGCTGATGTTTTTTCTCCTCTCATCCAATATGCTGTTGGGCCTGGCAGCACTAAAAAGACCGATATTACGTGTGGTGCAAAATTGCTGTTAAGCTGCCTGGTTAAAAACCTCCTTGCTGTTCTCCGGGATGAGGGATCTCCTCTCGCTCTTTCCTCTGCTGCAGCAACCGTTGTGTGTCCACGTCGCTCTCCAACCCCCCTCTATTAATGCATGCAAACCTCTTTCTAGCCAAACACACTCTTGAAGCTTTTGAAATGAAACCCATTGCAGAGGAGGAAGAGGAGGAGGAGAAGGTAGAGGTGGTTAAGGTTCCCGTTGCCAAGCCGCGTTTCCCGGAGCCGTTGCAGACGCGGTCAGGTACAGCCGCAGCGGTGTTTGCCATCGGTGCGGCTCCCGCGGCCGCCCGTGCTGTGACCTGCTGGGTTGAAGTGATGCAGTGCTGTAGGACAGAGGTTGCGTTGTTTGCAGTGGTGTTCCTTGCCATTAAAATCACACTCTCGCTTTGCAACTGTGCTGTAATACCCGAGCGCTGCTTTATTGGGCTGTGCCTCTGGTTGAGATGAGGAGGTGCCGTGGCTTGGCTGTGTGCCTGCGTGTTGAAATGAGTGTGCAGTGGCCTCTTAACACTCCGCTGTTACTGTCCCTTCTTGTAAGGTTCATTCCCCTGAGCTGTAGGAAAGTGTGGTGCCTGAAAATCAGGTTGTGTGCTCTGGGACTGCTGGAGGTCACCTGCACTCTGCTGGTTTTCTTTGCCAGGGAGCCGCTGCCTTCCCTAGTTGGGGTTTCTTGTCAGAGGAACTTCACTGCAGCAGACAGAGCCATGCTAATTATAATTAAAAGCAGAGTTGGTTACTCACTGCAGGAAGAGGAGATTGAAGCCATGGAGGGAAGTAACTGGGAACTTCACATGTTTTCTTGAATATTATGAAAAATACTGAACCAGCCCCTGCACTTCAACTTGAGGATATTCCGTGGGACAGGCTGCAGCAGAGCAGAGAGCAGCCAGTGCCAGACCTGAGCACACCCGGGGCTCTCCTGCTGCAGCTGCCCCTTCTTCTCATTCACCTCCTGCACTTTGTCCTCCTCTTTGACACTTTTGTTCCCAGTAGGGACCGTTTTCTTGGCCAGGGCGATGATGATTGATATTTTATATCTTATATTTTGGAGTAGTGCTTTTTACTGTGGTTAAGTTGTCATGTGTCAAAATAGCCAAAGATAGTTAATCAAGAAAATGTAACTAAAATAACGCAGTTCTGGGCAGCACAGAACTCATTGTTGAATGGCAAAGGAAAAGCTTGATATCTGTTGTTACTTTTCCTGCGTGTCTTGATGCTCTGAAGCACTGTGAGAGAAGCAGGAGAGGCGGCCGTGCAGATTTACTGATGGCAGTATTTCCTTTGCTACTTCATCGTCGAGGTGGCATTTTAACACATTCGTAACTTTTTTAGCCAAACGTGATCTTGGCAGTGTTGAGATAATCCCAATTGAAGAGGAGGAGGAGGAAGAAAAAATGGTGGTGATGAGAGAACTAGAGCCGGTCTCGAAGGAGTCAGGTACCACGGCGCTGGCTTTGCACACCCGGCATCCTCCTCATCCTGACTGTCCCTGCCATCTCACCGTCCCTCCGGTGGCTGTCACTGCTTCTGTGGCATAAATACACCAGGACGTGGCACCCCGTTGTCCTTCTGAAAGGATAACGCAGTGTCTGGCTCACAGAAATGAACTGCTATTCTGAAGAACAGGGGAGATAACGGAGACAGCAGTGGTGGTGTGGGTTTTAGGGTGGATTTTTGGCAAGATCTGGTGTCCAGGAGTCTGACTTAAAAGTCTAATTTCAGTCTCTGAAAAACTGGGGGTTTTGTGCTTCCATCTTGTATGTTTTTGGCCACATGGATACTTTATTCGATGCATGTTTTATACACACAGAAGAGATGCAGTTACCTTTTCAGTGAAACAGGAATTTTTACTAAGGAGTTAAAATTACAATTTTTTCTCTAAGGCCAGATTTTCTAGTGTCTTTGACTAGCTGGATGGACGCTAGTAACCTGGAGTTGCCTGAGGTAGAAGTGCCATTCTTCAGGGGTTGGGGTTGGCACCGGTGCTGTTTCACAGCTTTGTTGGTGACACGGACAGTGGGATCGAGCACCCTCAGCACGTTTGCTGACACCACTGAGCTGTGCGGTGTGGTCACCTGCTGGAGGGAAGGGATGTCATCCCGAGGGGCTGGACAGGCTTGGAGGTGGGATGTGCCAACCTCATGGAGTTCAGCAAGGCCAAGGGCAAGGTCCTGCCCATGGGTCGGGGCAATCCCCAGCACAGACACAGGCTGGGTGCTGAGTGGACTGAGAGCAGCCCCAAGGAGAAGGACCTGGGGGTGTTGGTGGGTGGAAAACTGCCAGTGAGGCAGCACCGTGCGCTGGCAGCCCAGAAAGCCAGCGGTGTGCTGGGCTGCACCCAGAGCAGGGTGGGCAGCAGGGCCAGGGGGGGATTCTCCCCCTCTGCTCCACTCTCAGGAGACCCCCCTGCAGGGCTGGGTCCAGCTCTGGGGCACCAACAGCAGAAGGACACGGACCTGCTGGAGCGGGGCCAGAGGAGGCCACAGAGATGCTCGGGGGGCTGGAGCCCCCCCTGTGAGGACAGGCTGAGAGAGTTGGGGGGTTCGGCTGGAGAAGAGAAGCTCCGGGGAGACCTTAGAGCGGCCTCCCAGGGCTGAAAGGGGCTGCAGGAAAGGGGGGAGGGACTCGTCATCAGGGGTGTAGGGACATGATGAGGAGTAATGGATTTAAATTGACAGAGGGGAGATTTAGATTAGACACAAGGAAGAAATGCTTCCCTCTGGGCACAGGCTGCCCAGAGAAGCTGTGGCTGCCCCCTCCCTGGAAGGGTTCAAGGCCAGGTTGGACGGGGCTTTGGGCAACCTGGGCTAGTGGAAGGTGGCCCTGCCCGGGGCAGGGGGTTGGAACTGGGTGATCTTTAAGGTCCCTTCCAACCCAAACCTGTCTGTGGGTCCATGAACATTTTGGAGCTGTTGGGCTTTTCAGGGATTGGGAACTGTCTGGGAAACCAGGAGTTGAAGGAAAGGAGTAGGCAGTTGATTTTGTGTGTACCTAGTGCTTGTATTTAAGACAGTCATCCTCTGGAAAGATGACTTTTTGGCAGCATGTTACTCATTTCTGCACTGTCAGTGATCTGGAGATGCTGGATATCTTCTCGCAGCGGTGCCTTGGGCTGCAGCAGGAGATACTCACCTTGGACACGCAGCCCCAGCCTGCTTTGAAACCCACCTGGAAGTTGCTGTGATTCTTGTTGATTGGTTTTCTTTGCTGAAAAGATTGGGGAGATAGAGGAGAGCCTCTGTTGCCCTTCCAGAAGCCATCCGTTTCTGGTTGAGGAGATGCCAGTGAGTCAAGAAGTCACTTCAGCTGTGTTTCTATTTTAACGGCTGCACTGGGATGGACTTCTGTGTCTGTTGTGTATGAAGGACCCAGAAATTGATGGCACAGTGTCAAAAATAGATTTGCCTTTCTGGTGTGGCTTCTCTGCAGAGTGCAAGCTTGCTTTTTGTAAACCATCTGTTGTGGGGTTTTATTTTATTTAAGCCATAAGGAAAATAATCTCAACTTTCCCATACTAAACGCACAAGCTGCTTTGCTCAACATCTTTATTTCTTTTCCCTTTTTTCCTCTTCCTCCTCCCTTTCTTTTTACAGAACAGCATAGTAATTTGGAAAGACTTTGCCTAGTGCTTCAGAAACGTTGCCTGCTCTGACCCTTGTCCCTGTCTGTGTCTCTCCCTCACCCTCAGCAGTGGCTGTGATAACCCCCGAGAGGAGTCCCCGTCCCACCTCTGCCCCGGCCATTGCTCAGAGCCACGCTGCAGAACCAGTCCCAGCTAAGCCCGGCTTGAAGGACGCGGTTGCTGCATCTAAAGTAGAAAAGGAAACAGTGAAACCCGATGTGAGACGTGAAGAAATCCCACCGGCAAAAGCCAAGCCGGAGCCAGCCGATGCATCAAAGGTATGTCAGAGCAGAGTCTCTGGGAGAGGCTGTGCTTGTGCCCGGCTGAAACATCGGCTCTAGAAGCCACCCCTGAGCATCAGCTCTGTGCCCCTTCCCCTCCCAGGCAGCAAGGAGTTTAATCCCCCCCAGGCACTGGGTGGGGGTGAGGTACAGGGGGGTCTGGGAGATCCCAGCCCTGACCCTGGGGGTGCAGGGAAGGAGGGAGGTCCAGGGTGGCTGGGTGTTGGTGGTTGCAGTCCAACTAAATGCAACTTGCTGATATATGGTTAAAAAAACTGGCAAGGACTTCACACGAGTTCGTGGTACTTGAATTTAGGGCTCACCCATCGCTGGGCTGTCTCTGTCGATTCCTGGTACGGCAGCAGGAGCAGTTTCAGTGAAATCAGTGATCCAGATCTGGTCCACAGCCCCAGCGTCTGAATGCAAATGTTTTTTACGTTGATAGGCTTTCTCTGGAAGAGCTATTAATATGTTTCTGCAAACTGGACTCAAACTTTGGTTTTGAATGGCGCTGTTGAAATCTTGGGGGATTTATTGTTTAATTTTTTTTAAACATTGATCTTTCTACAAATGTCTGAGACCTCTGCTGGTGTCGATATATGTGTATTGTTCTCTTAAGTCAAAATAATGTGCAAAATTATCGTTTATATTACAGCGTCCTTAATATTCTGCAAATCTTACTGACTGAAACCTTCCAGTGTTGCAGCAGAGGTGTACGCCTTGAGATACAATTTTCACATTACTCTGAATATTTAGCTGTTCTCAGCATTACTGGTACCACATTTTTGCTCTAACACGTCATACAGTGGGTCTTGTATGACATACTCCAGGGGCGATCACTGTTAATGAAAGCTGGGAAGTGGAGGTGGAGAAAACACAGGTGCTTCAAAAAATTTCGTGGCCTGTGTGACCGGTAATTTTTAAATGAAAATAACCAAAGGGATATTCAGGCTGGCAGTTTGGATTGTGCGTCGTGGCACATGGTTCCTGTAATGCTTTTTCCTGCACGGCTGCTCACCCTCCCTAGCCTTAAACTGAGAACAAGTAAATTTTTATTCATCCCATCTCACTTATTACAGGGTTTTTTCCTAAATGTTTAAACACTGGAATTTATTTTTTTTTCTTTAAATGTAGATGTGGGAGGAAATTGTGGATCCGAATGTGCCAAATTTACCCCGTTTCTCAAATGTAGCTGTATCACTTCTTTTAACACCCACCAATGCTTTTGCCTTTGGAGTATTTGGCAATCCAGTTTCCCTAAAATACTTTCCTTTAAAGTGTTCCGACAATCTTGGCTCTCTACTTAAGGACAGTAAAGAACTTAATTTGTGATGTTAGGCTTCGTTTTTTAGATAGGTCTCTTCTTACTGACTCTGTGAACGTAATACCTGTGCATAACAAATAATTTTCTGGTTTTGAGAAGGTCTGTGTTAATTTGAGCATGTTGCTTTTGGTATGGATTTCACTGGGCGATCCGGCTGCAAATGAAATTTGAAAGCATTGCCTAAGCAAAGCTAATGCAAATGGGAAGCCCTTCTTCAGAGGCACTGGAGAGCACTGGTTGCACTGGAGAGCACTGGTTTCAAATGCAAATAATTCTCAAGCTGAAGGAATTATTGTAAACGTGCTGTTAACTAACAGACTGTCGGAGAGCTGCGGTGTCATTAACTCTTTCCTGAGGGCTGCATGTTGGTTTTTGCATGTTCACCCGGCATTTCAAAACCAACTTTATGCAGCTGTGTTTTGAAACTAAATGGTCTACTAACAAGAAATGTTTTTACCAATTTATTTCTTAAATTTAGGTGAGGAAAACGCACATTGAGGTCACAGTACCCACCACGAATGGTGACCAGCCCCAGGTTTGTGCTAATAATTCAGTTAGGTTGCTCACTTTTTTTTTTTTTTTTTTTTTTTTAAGGTTAAACAGTGAGGTTCAACATAGTTAAATGAACCAACAACTTTTTTTTCTTTTTTTATCACTGCCCAACAGCAGCAGCCTGCAGAAAAAGAGGAAGAACTGATAAGAATGAGGAAGGTTAGCCATTTTACACTTTCACCAAACAAATTTGCCATGTCATTCATGCATCTGTAACCTGTTTAAAAAGACAGTGCTCCAACTTCATGTGCTTTGGGTTGGGTTTTTGTGGGGTTTTTTTGCAACTATCAAATATTTGATTACAAAATGAACAGCTTTTTGTCCCATAGACAGTCTGATTGCTAAAATTATGCATGTTAGAGAGAAACCCACTTGGTTTGATTTATAAAATTTATCTTCTCTGTAACAAATTTAGTTAGAAACCAAAGAAAACTGTATAGTGTGCATTCCAGGAAGTGCAAGTCAAAAAAAAAAAAAAAAGTATAATGCTTTTTTGGTACTGATTAAGTACTAGGAGACATACTCAAGATGGGAGAGGGGGTTAAGACATAGTTACTGTGCACACTGAGACCTTGTAGAAGTTACACCAGGCAGTACAGCCTCATACACCGGGGTGGGCACGCATCACTGTCAGGAGTATGAAGTTGTGACTTCACGCAAGGCTTCCACAGAAAACCAGTAAGGTCTCTCTTTGTGGCGAGCGATACAAATGAAGGCACAAGCCGAGGAACCCCTGGGAGCTGTCTCTTTAAAGGACTCATTGCATTTCCCCATTCTCCATAAGCAAGAACCCCCATTTCCTGGTGGTGGCCCCAGGCCAGGTCCCTGTGGCTGGGTCCCCACCCCACGCTGGCACAGCGCTGCACTCCCAACCTTGAGTTAACTTTTTTAATTTGCCAATTTGTCAATCCCGCAAGAACAACATTTTAATTTTTTGTGCTTTTCTTTTTTTTTTTTTTTTTTTTTTTCCCCCTTTT